GTGTTCCAGAATGCCTCTCCTCTAGTATTAGGGATGTAAATAGTAACCATTTAAACAGTTAATCGATGAGCATCAGCTTATTGGTTTCTGTTACTGTTACACGCTGGCTTCCAGGGAGGCTTTGCTGTGGGCTCTGCAGTATAAGAGCCCACAGCGAAGACAGCTCTCCGGGAGCAGGGCTGGCCACCAGGAACCAGTGCCTGCTGGGAGCCAGTTTATGAGCTGGCTCCCAGCGAGCACTGGCTGCTGGCCCCACTCCTGTGGAGCCAGCTTCACTGCAGGCTCTGCAGTGTAAAGCTTATGTACAAGCTTTATACTGCAGAGCCCACAGTGCATGTAACCACTAGGATTTTTAGCAGTTACAGTTACATTTTTTAATGAATTTTTACATCCCTATCTGATATCCAGTCACCTTTCTCTTGTTTAAACAGTCATCTGTATGGAAGTTTTCCTAGGTTGTGTCCATAGGGTATAGAAGAGCTGTGACCAGTGACCCCTCTTGATCCCTTCTCAACTAGTATTGAAGAAATTTGTCTTGCTGATAAGGACAGGGTCAACACCTATTGCAGGAAGCAACTTTCGGGTAGACTTACAACTTTCGGGTAGACTTAGAATTTACAGCCTGGGTTCCATGGGCACAAATCTGTTCTAGTGTGTCAGCCTTAGCTTTGATATTCCCTTTTTTAAAAATGTTTATTTTAACATACTGCATTTGTGTTCTTGAAGGAGATCATTTTTCCCATGTTTCTCTCTCTAGGAATTTGTCTGTTGTATATGGCTGAATATACTGCCTACCTAGTTAGATCCCAGTCTTGCAAACATACAAACACATGAATGGTCCCATTGAAAGTTATGAAATGTTAATCATATACATAACCGTTTGCAGGATTGGGGTTTCAAGTCCTAATCCTGTAAGCAGATTTTTGCAGATGTGCTGATGTGGAGTTTTGCTGAAACGGATAGGAAATTGCACAGAACAGTTTGCAATATAGGGTCTTTAATAAAAGTAAGTTACTTTTTGGTAGTGATAGCCCTAATGAGGTCTTTATGAACTTCATTTGAAAAACAGCAATGCTCAGTACCATAGTTCCTAGGCACTTATGTCTCCTTTCCAGTCTCTCTGAGTGCATGCTTTCAAGTATCCAATCAGTGCTGGGCTGGAATTCCACAAACCTCTCATAAATAGGCCAAGTTATTGGCTACAATACCCTGTGTATTAACTGTAGGACCAACTGAGTTCAAATAACTGCAGTTCTTCTCTTTGGGAGTCTCTGAGTAATGGAACAAAAAACAGGACTATGTAGCACTTTAAAGACTAACAAGATGGTTAATTAGGTGATGAGCTTTCGTGGGCCAGACCAGCTACACCATACTAACACGGCTACATTTCTATCACTATTCTGAGTATGGTATACAGTGATAAAACTATTATCTTAAAATAAGTATTGTTTATTTTAACAGTAGGAACAATGCAGTTAGAGAAAACAAACTTTAAAATAGTCTACACATGTCTGTGTTATCTAATGTCTTATTGTCACCCGATGGTAAACTAGGCAGACCAAACTTCTTCCAACATATTCAGTAAGCCTCTTTATCTCAGTCTGGTTCCAAAACACCTCTGTCTCTCTTCTCTTGAAAGAGGAGTCCTATTTAAACATGCCACATTTCTTTTTCCTGTTTGCACATGATTGTTTAACTCTCAAATGTTTGCTGAGAAGTGACTGATTTTGAGCCACTCTTTGTTTTTCTCATCCTATTAAATCTAAATCAATATACATAAATATCCCAATAACCAGATCAACATGCAGTATTCATAAATTATAGAACAGTTCCAAATCAGCTTCATCTAATAACCTGCAGGTTCAGGCCTCAAGAACCGTAGTATCCAGTAGTGCTAACTACAACACAAAGCACATCTGATCTGGTTTCTAAATCAAGCTTGGATGTATCAAATGGAGCTGTTGTGTCTGGCATCATTTTACAAGGCTTCTAGAATTGAAGGTTTCAAATAACTGACTGTTTCTTCTAACATAATATCTGACAGGATCTTAAAGTTGTGAAGCTATTTAGACTCTATTCTTTAAGATAAATATACTGAAAATGATATAGCAAAGACAGATGGTCGTGTGTAGCCCATATCTTCTAGGACCATCTATGTGCTTTAATATTTCATTATATATATATCATATATTTAGCATTTGTTGTTGTTATCAGTTATAAACAGTAAAGTAAACTGTCCACATATCTAAATAGTTGTAAGATATCTGGGACTATTCTACGAACTATTCTATATTTTTATATTATAGCTTTCTTTTGGTCCCAGTCTAGTTAGTGTTCCCTATATATCCTGTCATGTTCTAGATATGGTTTAAGATGATAGGGCCTCTGTCACATAAATATTTAAACAAGCCAAGAGGTAGAAATAGCTGACAAAGAGCGATCATTTGGTGTTCACTATTTAATTTCTGTTCTTTGCAAGGACGTTCCTGCCAATCTGATCATTTTTTTTAAAACAAAACAGGAACTGAGACATCAATAGTATACATTTATGATTTACTATGCCATTTCATTTAAGCGTTTATATAAATACACTATCTTGGGTTTATGTACAATATGCAATTAGTTATAGCCTTGGAGTACGTAATTTGATGACCTGTAGAGTGGGTGGCCCATCTGTTACACTATCCCCATTGCACTGCTGTACAATTACTTCTGTGCTACTGCGGAGAATAAAAATGTATGATTAACTAGAGGCGCCGACTTTCAAATGTGTTAGGGGGTGCTTGAGCCCTGCTGTTCCCCACAGCCTATCCCCACTCCACCTTTTCTCCACCTTGCCAAGCAAGCCCTGCCCGCCCTACCTCCGTCCTTCCTGCAAGCACCACCTGCATGCCACAGAACAACAGACTGGTTGGCAGGAGGTGCTGGGAAGAAGGAAGAAGCACTGGTCGGGTGGGGAGCTGATGAGCACCTACCATTTTTTCCTGTGGGTTTCTCTAGTCCCAGAACACCAACAATAAGAAATTTGAATGCTTAATTTCCATTCTTCAAAAGGGGGTGTCCATCAGTACCTATGTGATGGACACCCCTTTTTTGAAGAATGGAAATTAAGCATTCAAATGTCTTTCTCCTGTCTCTGTCAAAACAGAATGAGTGTTACATTGTTTTAATAAGAGGATCCAAATTGCTTCAGTTGCTAGCTGGGATTATTTTGGTCTAAGGATATGTCTTTACTATAGAGTTAATCAGGTTATCTATCCTCATGTTAACTTTTCTTAAATTAGCCTAAGGGAGAGTGGCTCTGGTCTGATGTTTCTAGCCAAGGGGAGCCACAGAAAGTGGCATGGCCTAGGCTGCCACCTCTCGCAGTTTCTCTTGGCTCGAAATGGCGAACTGGAGTCAATGGGAGCCGCAAGGTTCCAGGGCTTTGGACCCTTTAAGTAAACAAAGTGGCATGGGCCACTAGTGGCTTTCCCAAACAGAAACACTACTCTAGTGAATGTCAACCAATATTGTCAGGTGTTCACATGAGATGTGAATGGGCATGATTTTGGAGCATCTGAAAGATACAAAATTTACATCAAGTTATGTTCCTTTGACTTTGTTATTGGGGCATTCATCATAAGCCTAACTCTGTGGGTGCTCTGGGACTAAACATAATACACAAATATATTTCAAAGGACTTTCAGAAAGTACTGTGTCAGCACTGATTGAACTGTTTTCCAATGATAATATCTTATTAATTTCTTGCTTTTCTGAAGATTCAGTAAATTGTTGAAAAAATTCTTTGATCTGTTTACTTATCTCTTTCTCATAGTCATTCCATGGATATGTATGGACACTATCAGTCAGAAGATCAGTCTGTAGTCAGTAGAATACAGAAGAAATACTGGAAGACAAAGCAAGCCCTAATCAAAGTCACAGGAAAGAAAGAAGATGAGCATGTAATTGCATCTGATGCAGAACTGGATGCCAAACTAGAGGTACAAATTATGATTATGTGACCATGTCTATACTACACACTTTGATGCAAGTTATATTGCTGTATAGCCATCAAAGTTTGTGTATTGCTCATGTGCATGCATACTTGGTTGCTTGTGTCAGTACTGTGCGTATTCAGTAGGCATATTGTGTTGATATACAGTATGGTGCATTGGGTAGATAGCTTAGTGTGCCTCATGCTGCTGTTTGGCACAATGCTTTTGGGAACATTCTGAAATGTGTGGTGGGATAGAAATGACTTGCCCAGGAATCTCTGGGAGCTAAGGGTCAGGTTCCCAAAATCCAACTTTCTCCATCCCATAATTTAACTTGTGCAGCACTTTTTGGTACCCACCATCTCTGACAGAAGCATGGAGCCCATAGTGCTCTCTCATGAATGTTGCAAAAACAGGACACATGATTCTCCTGTATTTTCAGACAGCCAGAAAATTTTGCAGCAATATGGGGGGTGACAATTTCTTCTTGGACATTTTTCAAAGGGACTTGTCAGATAATAGTTCAAGGTTGTTGATGGGACAGAGCCCAGCTCAGATACAAAATGTTGTATTTTCATCACTATCTGTATCCACAAAAATGAGCTGCTGATATCTGCATCCACATCCATGGATACAGATACCCACAGATTTGCAGGGCTCTATTCATGGTGTTCATTGAGCAGCTACAGACAATGGAGCATTGCTTTTAGGTTCATGAACTGAGCACTGAATGGTGACATCACATCATAATTCAGGCTTGGGAAAAAGAGCAATGGCTGCATCATTTTTGGATGTGAAAGGCCACATATCTGGATCTGTCTTCTGATTTCACCTCAACCCTCGAGCCATAATGAGAGTTGCCTTGACAATGGAGAAGTGAATTGCGGTCACATTTTCGGAGCCTGAAACATTGGATTGCTAAAAGTCATTGGGAAACCATTTTGGAGTTGGAAAATCCACAGTGGGGGTGTTGTCATACAAATGTGTAGGGCCATTAATTGTCTCCTGCTATGCAGGACTCTGGTTATCTGCAACATTGAGTACATAGTGGATGAATTAATAGCAGTGAAGTTCCTGAATTGTTCTGGGGTAATTGATGGCATTCAAGCTGCTTTTTCTGGCACCAACACACCTTGCTATAGGATTCATCAACAGAAAGGGCTACTTCTTTACAGTTACTCAAGCATTGGAGACACTTCACTGAAGTTAATGTTGGCTAATCAGGGAAGGTGAATGATCCTCACATCTTCAAGAATACAAGACTGTTGAGAAAGTGGCAAACTTTGGGGAAGTTGAAATGTCAATAGTGATTCTAAGGGACCCAGTCTATTCCTTGCTGACAAAGCTGTTTACAAGCTCCAAGCCTCAATAGCATCAAAGGAAGATTCAATGACTGACTCAGCAGGTGTTAAATAGCTGTTGAATGTGCTTGTTATTCTACTACTAAGGTTCCCTCTAAGCTGTGGGGTAGCATGGCCCTGCATCTGCTTAATGAGTCCTGCACAGGAAAATGTGTGGTGACTACAAAGAAAATATGGATGATAGTTTAGTAATCAGTAGTGGTATTAGTTGCAGATGCTTTGGTTTTTGACAAGTAGGGCCCCATATAGTCACAACATGAAAATAGCCATGAAATCCATACTTTATTGCCTAAGTACATACTTGTCTGAGACAGTATGCACATATGTGTTGTGACCAGTCCCTCCCTTTCCTGTGGCTACATGGTAACTTGTGCAGAGCTAATCAAGATACATCTCCTTGAGGTGAAAATTTCATTTCCAGCTCAAAATGCAGACTTACCTTGCAAAAGTAGTCTTAATTTCTTGGGTGTGTATATCCTGAACAGGGGTGAAAGTAACTTACATTTTTTACTGGTACTCTACTATCACAACCCATGCCCTCTTGTGAGGGGGACATAAGGGCAGGGGGAGATTGCGATACAACAGTACCTGTAAGAAATTTTAGCGTGGGATGGAGTGCAAGGGGGTGGTTCAGGGCAGAGGGTTGGGGTTGGAGATGTGTGAGAGTGCAGGAGTCAGAACTGGTATATATGAGGGACTCAAGACCGTGGATTGGTGTGTGCAGGAGGCAGGGGCTTGAGGTGTGTGGGGGGAGAGTGTGTGGGAACTAAGTTAACTTAATGGGCCACTGTGGCAGATGGGGAGCTGATTGCAGGGCCTTCCCCAAGGTCAGGGTCAGAGCCACGCCACTGCAACTATGGCCGAACAGGGGCCAATTCCATGCCCCACCCTTTGGCAGGTATGAGGCTGGTCTGGTCTGCTATGACAGGAGTCGGGTTGCAGCCAGATGGGGGCCAGACCAGGGGGCCTGCCCCAGGACTGAGGCTGGGGCATGGCTGTCGCTGATACCATGCCCCAATCCTGTGGCAGGAGCAAAGTTGGGGCCGGGCCACATGGGGGACAGACTGTGGGACCTGCCGCATAATTGGGTCTGGGCTGCTGCAGCCAGAGCCACAGCTAGACAAGGGCCAATTTTTTGCTCCACCATATGGCAGGAGCAGGACCAGGCACTATGGCCAGATGGGAGCTGCTACCAGCTGTTTGTGCCTCCCTTACAGCGCACCCCCAGCCAACCCCTTTAAATTGTGGGCCTGCTTCCTGCACAGCGGTGTGCCCATTGGCTCTTGCCAGAGTGCAGCTCGCTCTTGCAGGAATTGTGCACTGGGAAGCACCCATTTACTTTCACCTCTGATCCTGAATACATTAGGTAAGTTTGTTCACAGGTCTAATTCAGTATGTGCAACTCCCTTTGACTTCATTGTGTCTTCTTATACTACAGCTGAATTTGGTTTATAGATTCGTCCAGGGGAGCCAACAGCCTCCACAGGCCCCATAGCAAGTTGTGTGTGTGTTGAGGGGGCTCCATGCTCCTGGAAGGAATGGTCCTTGGGTTAGGGCTGGGGGCAGCCAACCCTCAGCACTCCAACAGTGATTTAAAGGGTCTGGGGCTCCAGCCATCATCTCTGTCCGACCTTTTTGAATCACTGGATCCTGGGGCAACAGGCCTGGATTCTGCCTTGAAGAATAGTTAACAGTGGAAGTTTTGTATTATGTTCTTATCTATATTAACATTACTATTTCCATAGTTTTATATACTAACTCTTCTTTTCCAAGGTTTTTCACTTTATTCAGGCAAGCTGTACAGATCTTCTAAAGACTATTAAGAAATACCAAGAGAGACTCAATGGTATGCAATGACATATGGATTTTAATTTGGTTTAAGAGCCATCACTGTTTGTTTTTTAAAAAATATTTTGAATTTAAATCTATTGTTAAAACCAGATAACTGTTTAACTTAAAATAACTCATTGGCATATTTGAAACTATTTTTAATTTCTGGAGAACGTCACTATTTTAGTGTAAGATGTGAGACCAAGATTTGGGATTTCTTGATAGAATACATTAATACTACCAACATTTCTACTACTGGCAGAAAATGAAGCCATTATATGGCTAATTCAATTAGTTCTAGTGGCCCTAATTTTTGAGACTATCAGTGAACTGAAGAAGGAAGCCATTACAACTATTGTCAGACCAATCTGATAGTTTTCTTTGATAAGATAACAAGTCTTGTGGATAAGGGAGAAATGGTGGACGTGAATACTTAGACTTTAGTAAGGCATTTAACCCGTCTGGCATGACCTTCTTATCAATAACTAGGGAAATACAACCCAGATGAGACTACTATGTGGTGGGTGCATAACTGGCTGGATAACCATTCTCAGAGAGTAGTTATTAATGGTTCACAATCATGCTAGAAGGGCATAACAAGTGGGGTTCCACAGGGGTCTGTTTTGAGGCCAGTTCTGTTCAGTGTCTTCATCAGTGATTTTGATGATGGCACAGAGAATAGAATTATTAAGTTTCCAGATGATACCATGCTGGGAGGGGTTGCAACTGCTTTGGAGGATAGGGTCAAAATTCAAAATGATCTGGATAAACTAGAGAAATGGTCTGAGGTAAATAGGATGAAGTAGTAAGGACAAATGAAAGTATTCTACCTAGGAAGGAACAATCAGTTTCGCACATACAGAATGGGAAGTGACTGTCTGGGAAGGAGTACTGCTAAAAGGGATTTAGGGGTCATAGTGGATGACAAAAATTATACATGAGTCAACAGTGTGACACTGCTGCAAAAAAAGCAAACATGATTCAGGGCTGCATTAATAGAACTGTTGTGAGCAAGACACGAGAAGTCATTCTTCCACTCTACTCTGCGCTGATTAGGCCTCAGATGGAGTATTGTGTCCAGTTCTGGGCACCACATTTCAAGAAAGATGTGGAGAAATTGGAGAAGGTCCAGAGAAGAGCAACAAAAATGATTAAAGGTTAAGAAAACATGAGCTATGAAGGAAGATTGAAAGAACTGGTCTAGTTTAATTTAGAAAAGTGAAGACAGAGGGAAGAGACATGATAGCAGTTTTCAAGTATCCAAAACGGTGTTAGGAGGAGGAGGGAGAAAATTTGTTCTCCTTGGCCTCTGAGACTAGAACAAGAAGAAATAGGCTTAAATTGCAGCAAGGGAGGTTTAGGTTAGACATCAGAAAAAACTTCCTGCCTGTCAGAGTGGTTAAACACTGGAATACATTGCCTAGGGGGTTGTGGAATCTCCATTAATGGAGATATTTAAGAGCAGGTTAGACAGACACCTGTCAGGGATTATCTGGACAGTGCTTGGTCCTGCCGTGAGGGCAGGGGACTGGACACGATGACCTTTCAAGGTCCCTTCCAGTTCTAGTGTTCTGTGATTCTATTAGAAACTGTGAACAGTAATTTATGGTTTATATAAAACTTAATTTTAGTTTCCCTATATTTTCAAAAAAGCTCCTCCCTGTTTATGAAAGAAAAGGATTTTAAATAAAACTAGAGTTTTCCCATCATAAATTATGACACAGTAATATCTCTATAAAGTTTTATAAATAGTACAAGTAACAAAGTAACCTTTAGATTATTAGCTGACAAGAATCATTGCTTAACATGCATTCTTTATGAATCAGAGTTTGATTAAAAGCATTTTAAATGTAGTAATAAATTACCATAAATAACAAGATAATAAAGTTTCATGCTCCTAAGTCTTTTGTGTAGTACTGCCTCTATATTTATCCATCTCCCCCCTACCAAAGATAGAGCCTCAAATGTTCAATTATCCCACATGAAAAAAAGTCTAAAAAGTCTGATTTAGACATTTGGATGTTTTACTTTAAAATGTATTCCTTCTTTTCCTTCTTTCTCCCAAAACATACCATATCCAATTGTAAATGTTGTAAAAATCTAAATATCTTTTTATGTATTCTATCACTCTAAACAATAAAGTGCTTGTTTTCCCACCCTCTGGTGACTATTTTTGGTATAATTAAATATATGGGAATTGTTAATTTGTGTATTTATATTTTTTGCAATTATTTCCCTTTATAGTTATGTCTGAGGAAGAAAATGAGCTAGGCCTCCTTTTAAAAGTTCAAGGAGAGCAAGATACTTCTGAAGCTGGCAAAATGATGGAAGCCACTGGAAAGATCCTTTGTTCTTCAGCTCAGCAAAGGTTTTCAATTATTTTATATAGTCTTCCTTCAAATATCAATAGCACCAAATATACGTACATGGAATAAGGCACCTGTTTGGTGCTTTAAGATTCTCAGGTTAGATACATGGAAAGCAATTACAATTTTATGTAAAACAAATAGACTATAATAAAAGAAATATATAGAGGAAATACAAATTATCAAGAAGTACCAACAGTAAGTGTCAGAGGAATAGCTGTGTTAATCAGTATCTTCAAATAAAATAAAATAAAAACTAAGGTGTCACCTTAGAAACTAACAGATTTTTTAGGGCATAAGTTTTTATGGGAAAACTCACTTCATCAGATAAATTGGAGCGGGAAATATAGATGCAGGGGTACATATATAAGAAAAGAAGGAAGTTACTTATCAAGTATAGGACCAGTGTTAATGATGCCAATTCAGTCAGGGTTAATATGGCTCACTCACAGCAGCTGTTGAGAAATATCAAGCTGTTGTGAATACCAATGCCATGCTGTTCTGAATACCAAGAGAGGAGAAATTGCCTTTCTTAATGTCTAATTTGTGTCCATTTATCCTTTGTCACAGACACTGTCTGGTTTGACTAATATACATGGCAAAGTGGCATTGCTGGTACATGATGACATATCATGTTAGTTTTCTTATATATGTATCCCTGCATCTATATTTTCCACTCCAATTTGTCTTATGAAGTGAGTTTTCCCATAAAAACTTATGCCCTAAATAAATAGTGAGATAACCAATCTACATCCTTATTCAGTTCTAATTGGACTGTACTGAATTTGCAAATGAATTGCACACATCTAAACAAGTGACACCATCACAAGGCCTGAACACATAAGCCACATCTGCACATCCACTAACATGATATGTATTCATGTGCCAGCAATGCCACTTTACTGTGTATATTGGTCAAACCAGACAGTGTCTGCGCCAAAGGATAAATGGACACAAATTAGACATTAAGAAAGGTAACATACATAAAACTGAAGGAGAACACTTTGACTTCCTGAGGCATTCAGTGAGTAGTCATAAATAACAAGATACTAAAGTAGCCATCCTTCTACAAAAAAATAAAAAAATCCCTTCACAAACAGATTAAAAAGGGATACAAGTTCATTTGCAAATTCAGTAAATCCAATTAGGACTAAATAAGGTGGACAAGTTTGTGTAGTGTGGACAACACAAACTGCCTTTAGCACATGCTCAGCTGGTCCATTTGAAGCCTAGGCTTCCTCCAGGTTTAACTTGGCCAATTTAGTACAGGTTAAAGGCAGTGTCCCTTATATATAGTAGATTTTAAAATGTGTTAAATTTGCTAACATCACACCTTAAATGCCTCAGTTACAGAAGTGTAAAGTGAATGGTAGTCACAAACGGTTTGGCACCAGCACCTCTCATTGACTGCCTAACTCTGCCTCAGTCACTATTTATCATTCAGTTTGCACAATACATGAAACGGGGGACCTGTAGAAATAAATATAGCTGACCAAGTAAGTGAATTTCACCTCTGGAAAAACAATACAACAAAAATGCTTGAGGTTTTGGGGGAAAGAGGAGGGTATCTGCTCAAATTGAGACAAACAAAAACCTCAATTTCTTACAGAAATCAAATTCTGGAATATTCTGGGTTTTTTTAAATGAAATATGCTTCTGAGACTGTCAAGGGAGCCTGAAAGCTCTGGTCTCCACTGTTCCATGACTGCCTTCATCTCAGGGAAGAATCTAGGAGCCTTGGAAATTAGCCTTGAAACTTTGGGCTGCAAAAAACAAAACAAAACAAAAAAACCACTCTTGAAAGCCCAGAAAGCTTTGGCTAATTTCCTTTGAAAGTTTAGTAGAGCCTGGAAGGCCCTGGTGAATCTCTTTTCAAATCTGCAGAATATTTTGCTTTTTGCAAGTTGATATTTTTCAAGAAACAAATATTAATTGGAAAATTTTCATCTATGTTCAGAAATATAGCATGTAATTGTAGAAGACAATCGTAAGTCATATGAATGTGGGGCAAAGTTAGTTACTTTTTTAGTACTTCACCTTACGTCCTAATACTGCAAACACTTGTGCAGGTGCTTAACTTTATACTCAGGAATATTTACATTTAACATTGCATTCAGAAAAGTAATCAGGATCATGGTCTTCAATTTTAATTTTTCTTCCTTGGAATATCCTCGGGTTTTTAAATAACGAAATGATAAAGTTAATTTCCAAAAATGAATAATTATTTGCCAGGCAGTGCTGTAAGGTAAGGCTTCTGCCTTTCAAAGATGGTATAGAATAATGCAAAGTGCCTCATTAATTCTGCCTCAATGATAACTCTCTTGTGCATTGGTGTAGATAATTTTTCAACAAATTTTTAGTATGTTGATCCAAAATTTCACTCTGTTCTTTTGTGCATACATGTGCAGTGCTAGTAAAATGTTGGAATTTGATTAATGATAATCACGTCCTACTATAATTTTTAAACATATAGTACTTTGTGATAGATTTTTTAAAACCTTACTGTTTGACAAAATATTTATATTGGACCACCAAAAAGCATCAAAACGTCTAGTTAGATATTACTTCCTTACCAAATATTACTTTTATTGCCTCCTGCTAAGGTGAGAACTATAATATGTGTGTTGGTATATATTAAACATAAAGACTACATACAAAAATTAAAGATTCTTATTCAAGGAGTGTCCCTGTGGGAGCTCCACTGTAGTTGTCTTGGCACCTCTGCACTTCTAATCAGAACTTTTTGGCAGCAGTACTCTCCCCTGGGGACCGGCACGCAGGCACAGCATAGCCCATCAACTGTCGCCTCAGTTCCTTCTTATCCACTCCTAGCTTAGTTGAACAGAGCAGCTCTCCTTGATCGAATTAGTTAGAATTGTTAGGTTAGTGTTAGTTGTTAGTTCTTACCTTAGAGTTTAAGTCATTTTTAGAGTTATTCACGGGTTCCCCCCCATTAGTGTTAGTATTAACATTTTTTCCCCTTGTTCTTTAGTTATTATAGTATTAGTGTAGATATGTCAGATTCACCAGGCTTCAAATCGTGCCTGACCTACAGGATGTCCATTCCTATTTTGGATGGATATGCCCAGTGCATCAGATGCCTGGGCAATAATCATTCACCAGAATCCTGTCACCACTGTAAAAAGCTGTCACCCAGGTGTCTCAAGGCGAGAGAACTCCAGCTCAAGCTTCTCTTCATGGAGAAGACTGAGAGATCAGCTTCAGAACTACCTTCTTTGACATCACCGCCTCGCACCTCTCCAACAGCGGTATCAGACCAGGGTCCAGCACTGAGGGATGAGCATCTCAAGAGAAAACATTCCTCGCTCTCCCGTGACAGATTCACGAAGAAGACATCCCCTCAGCACAAGCCCTCTCCACTAACGCCTCAAGGGAAGTTCAGGTACTGGGGATGGTATGGACAAGACCCGAGGGGCAGGCTCTTCAACAGATGCACGTCCTGTGGTCTCCATGCCGAAATACAAAAAGACCGCATCTACACTGTCAATACTGAAGGCTCTGGTATCAACAAAGCCAGCACCTAAACCACCATCACAACCTCTGGCGAAGGGGCGACCAGATCTGAATTTGAAAACACCTACCAAGTCGGTACTTACCCTCTGAGAGTCCCCCGGCACCGTTGATGTCCAAGGCGCGTGACAAACCAGTACCGCAGTGCTTGCAGCCCTCAGCACTATCGGTGCCAATCTTCCTGCCCTCTGGTATCAACAAAGCCAGCACCTAAACCACCATCACAACCTCTGGCGAAGGGGCGACCAGATCTGAATTTGAAAACACCTACCAAGTCGGTACTTACCCTCTGAGAGTCCCCCGGCACCGTTGATGTCCAAGGCGCGTGACAAACCAGTACCGCAGTGCTTGCAGCCCTCAGCACTATCGGTGCCAATCTTCCTGCCACTGTGACTACCCATTCCTGCAAGCTCGGTACCGTATTTATCCAATGACAGTGAGGATAAGCAAGACATAGCATTCTTGCCTCGCCACTCCTCACCTAAACCAACAACACAGCTTCAGCAACAACAGATTGTGCAGACACAAATGTGGCAGCCCTTCTCTTGACTCCCTCCCATCCCACTGCCACAGCCTTAGCAGGGATGGCAGTTCTCTTGGCAGTCTGCCGATAAGGTCCAAAGCCCCTCCTTCCTAGAGGCTAGGGGTACTGCTGCACAGTCACCTACAGTGGAGTGCCCACAGGGGTAGTCCTTGAAGAAGAAAAAGGAGGTTATTCATCTTGTGCAGTAACGGGTGTTCTTCAAGATGGGTGTCCCTATAGGCACTCCATGATCTGCCCATCCTCCCCTCTGCTTCAGAGCGTCAACATCTCTCTGTAGTAGGGAAGGAACCGAGGCGATGGTTGACAGCACACGCATGTCGGCATGCTCTCTGTGTCGCGGGTGGTGCTACGTGCACACCAGCACCCAGGGGTAGTACTGCTGTAAAAAAGTTCCAATTAGAAGTATGGGGGTGCCAAGACACCTAGGCTATGTCTACACTTGCAGCTTCTTGCGCAAGTACGGCTGTTCTTGCGCAAGAACCCACAGAGCATCCACACTGCTCGCCTGCTCTTGCGCTAGGAAATTTACAGTATAGCGTCCGAACAGAGGGCTTCTTGCGCAAGAGTCATTCATCTCCCCATGAGGAATAAGCCCTCTTGCACAAGAGCTCTTGAGCAAGAAGGTAGTATGGATGGGCAACAGGGGGTTCTTGCGCAAGAAACCCCTGTGGCTAAAATGGCCATCAGAGTTTTCTTGCGCAAGAGGGTGTCCACTCTGTCATGGATGCTCTTGCTCAAAAGCACATGGCAATGTGGATGCGCTCTTGCACAATACCTTTTGAGCAAGAACTCTTACACACAACAGTTCTTGCACAAGAAGCCTGCAGTGTATGCCCACAGGGGCACCATATCAAAGAACACTAGTTACTGCACTGGGTGAGTATCCTCCCTTTTCCAAAGTCAACCATTCAGAAGTTAAATGTGAGAACTAAGATTGCTTATACAACCTTAATTTGGTCCCCTTGTATGTAGACTGTGATATACAATCTTTTAGTACATAACATGTCTTTTTCCACAGGTCCCCTACTTTATCTAGTGCAGAGAATGGATAGTGCTCACTTAATGAGCAGCTATTCAGAATTCTGTTTTATTTTTATTGTTCAGTGTGTGGTCCCACACCTTACTTTCTCCACACTGTTCAAATCCTGTTCTGAATTCAAAATTATTAATTTCTTCATGGTTTTTTTTTCTATGGAACTCATTACTCTAGTATCTGAGTGCTTCATAAATATAAATTAATTTGTTTTCACAAGCCACCTGTGACATGAAAGGATTCTGTATTCATTTTACAGATGAGGAACAGAGAAAATAAGGGCAAAAGTATCCAATAATTTTAGGTGGCCAATTTGTGACATCCGAGACCTAATTTTTCAGAGTACATAGCATTATGCAGGTTGGACTTCCCTGGTCTGACATCCTCAGGCCTGTAGATGGGACTCAAGGGAGAAAAGGGGGCAGATGTTTAACTAGTTAACTGAGTAAAGAGAAGAGTGGGTGGGGAGTTGCTCCAGCCCAGTTGGAGCTCCCTTTCTCCCCCACCTGCTGCTGGGCTGGAGCTGCATCTCTTGGCGCAGGCAGGGGGCTGCTCCAGCCCAAACAGAGAAGCCCTTTCCTGTGGGTCGCCTGGGTCAAAAAGAAATAGGGGCTTCTTTGGCCAAGACACCGGAGCAACCCCTGCCTATGGCGGGCCAGGGTGTCCCGCAGGAAGGGGCTGCTCCAGCGTCCTGGCCAGAGCAGCTCCTGCCTAAGGGTTGCCCAGGCCTACTGAGAAGAGGCAGGGAGCTACTTCAGCCCCCACTGGTTAACGTTATCCAGTAAGTCTCACTCTTAATGGATGAGGCGTACCAGTTAAACATTCAAGGTATGTCTACACTAGCCACCCTAGTTCGGACTAGGGTGGCTAATGTAGTCATTCGAACTTGCAAATGAAGCCCGGGATTTAAATATCCCGGGCTTCATTTGCATGTTCCCGGGCACCACCATTTTTAAATGCCCGGTAGTTCGAACTACATGCCCACGGCTACAGGCGGCACGGGCTAGGTAGTTCGAACTAAAGCTCCTAATTCGAACTACCATTACTCCTCATTGCAGGAGGAGTAATGGTAGTTCAAATTAGGAGCTTTAGTTCGAACTACCTAGCCCATGTCGCCTGTAGCCGCGGGCAGGTAGTTTGAATTACTGGGCATTTAAAAATGACGGCGCCCGGGAACATGCAAATGAAGCCCAGGATATTTAAATCCCGGCCTTCATTTGCAAGTTCGAATGACTACATTAGCCACCCTAGTCCGAACTAGGGTGGCTAGTGTAGACATACCCTCACACCCCTATTCACTAGTAAGGTTGCCAACTTCCCTGATCAGATGGACTGGATGCCGTTGCCATGAGTGGCATCTGATCAGGAAAGTTGGCAACTATAATCACTACACATTTTCCAACTCTTGTGGCAAATGAAGCAGGGGATGTACAGACAAGAGCCTTCTTCTCTCCACAACCCCGATTCATCCCTTGGGCATGTCCACTGTATTCAGTGACTCACGCAGGAGTCCTGTGGGGAAAAAATAGTATGTAACAAAAGACATAATGCATATGCACAAGGATTTTATTTAATTTATTAGGTTTTAAAATAGCAACCTGAAAAAATAGAAATTCCATCATTATAGCATTGTGCTGGCATCCACATGAGTCATTTGCAGGGTTGGAAAATTTAAATTATCTGCACAGACCTCTTGAAGCCAGTTGAGCTAGTAGAGGAACTGATAAAGTAGGTTGTCATCCTTTATGTGAACCAAGACTAGAGATGGATGAAACATTGACAGTGGGTTTCTCAAATATATACTTAAAGTACAGGAATGGTGAGATTCACAAGTAGTGGGCTCTATTTCAGGCTTTGCAAGAAAGTGTGTTCTAGTGGGCACAGACTCTTCTGCCCAATTACCCCAATCTTGACTCCTGCCCAGGCTCTGTTCCAAGCCTGTACCATCCACACCACTGGTCCTTGGCCTAATCCCATTCTCTTCAACTGTCCCGTTCCAATTTCTTCTCAGGCTTCTCATCCCAGTCCCAATCTCCTTGCCTAGCTATTTCCAATTTCTCCCTCCCCTACTGCTGGCTTCTTGTCCTCAGACTCCTTGTTCAGTCTGTACCAATTTCCTGCTCCCTACCTCAGCATCTCCTCATATTCCTGCTCTGTTTCCTCCCTCCTATCAGTTCATAGTCCCAGTGTCTTGCCTACCCAGTCACAGTCTACCCCCAGCTCTTCATTCCCATATTGTTTCTCTACAACTCCCAGTATCTGTGTCCAGGGAATCCCAGTCTTCCCTCACACTCTGTGTCTCCTTACCCATTCAATCCTTGTATCCACATCCTTCGCAACACCCAGTCCCAATGTCCCTTTTCTCTTGCCCACCAACCTCAAGTCCCAGTCTCCCGCCTCAAGCCTCTTGTCTTAATCTACTTCCTCACATCCCCCAGTCCAGCTCTTGTCCCTGCATTCAAATCAGACAGATTTCCCCTCTGGATTCATGGAGAGCACAGGAGTGACAGACTCCATGCTTTCAGTCCAATGTGTTGCCCCAGCCTAGTGCACAGCAGCCCGGAGCAGCAATTGCTGAATCATGCCCAGTGGAGACATCATCTATGGTGAATTTAGCAGGGTAATTATCCGTTTTCCACTGATCACATCCAAACAGATTTTTCAAAGATCTTTTTAGGGGGTTATTTTTTACTTTACTAAATTTGGACAGATTTTAGCTAAGGTAGCAAAAGACAAGTGTCCCTGACACAAAGGCCATCGCTTCTGCCAAATTTAAAGTTCTAGCTCCAAAGCATAGGAAACAAAGGGTGAGAATAAATGTTCAGTTTTCATAATGGAGAGAGGTAAATACTGGGCTTCCCCTAAGGATCTGTGCTAGAAGCAGTGCTGGCCAACATATTCATAAATGATCTGGAAAAAGGGGTAAACAATGAAGTGGCACATTTAGTAGACAGTATTGAATTTCTCAAGATAGTTAAATCCAAAGGATACTATGAAGAATTACAAAGGGATTTCATCAAATGGGGTGATTGGGCAAAAAATTGGTAGATGAAAGTCAATATTGATAAATGCAAAGTCATGCACATCAGAAAACATAATCCCAAATATACATGCAGAATGACACAGTCTAAACTAACTGAATCAAGAAACAGTTCTTGAAATAGATAGTTCTCTGAAAATATATGCTCAATGTGCTGTGGCAATCTAAAAAAATAACAGAATTTTGGAAACCATTAGGAAAGGGCTAGGTAATAAGACAGAAAAAAATCACAATGTCACTATATAAATGCATGACACTCTACGTCTTGAATACCCTGGACAGCTCTGGTTGCCCCAATATATATTAGATCTGGAAAAGCTACAGAGAAGGGCAACCTTCTCCTGATTGTCTAGTACGTGGTGCCAAGAGCACAACCCTCATTACTATTGTATGATATTTTAATCCCATTTGTGATCTGAAACCTGGATATTCTAATACATTCTTGCTTCTCCTGGCAGTTTGCTACATTTCTTTTAAGTTATGTATCACCATTTTATTTTCTAAATGTTGGAGTTTGTAGCATTTGGCCACTTGGGGTATGTCTACATTTCAGCCACATGTGTGAATGGCACCTCATATACTCATGTTAGCTTTTTTCTATCTAGCTCACTAAAAATAGAATTGAGGATAAAGCAGCATGGTTTCAGCACATACTGCACAAGCAGGTATGTACTCGGGAAGATCAGATGCTTTTACAACTAAGGCAAGGGTAATCAATTATTTTTTGTCAAGGTCCAAATTTCTTGGTTCACATTTAGTCAAGGTCCAGACATTAGAAAAAATAATAAAAATATAACATAGATGATCATAAGTAAATAAAAACATTTTATGGTCTGTTCAAAAGCATCCTGTGGTGTGAACTAGGCCTGTGATTCAGTTGTTCACTATCTTTGAGCTAGAGTATGGCTAGCATGTGTACATCTATATGAGGTGCAAATTACACTTGTGGCTGCAGCATCATCATATACCCTAATTTTTCTCCAGCAAAATGGCAAGCTCCCTTCACTTATGAGAGACTCTTTCTTCTTGCATGAGGTGGTCAACACCTTTTGGAGAGCCAGGTGGTATTTTCTACATGCAAGAAAGCATTCACTACAACATGTAGTCACAGATACACAAAAATTGTAACTTGTCTCCTACTAGAATTTACTGGGTTTTTTTCTCCCAGCTTTCCCCACAACTTAATATGTATTTTCATTTGGCTTATAACCAATTCTGTTTATTTCTTTCTTTTATCTCCAGGGTAGCCCTTTGTACCCCCTTGTCTCGCCTTGGGCAAGAACTGGCAACATTCAGTCATAGGGCAGTATCTGATACTTCATTAACAATCGATCGTATGGAGCACGCCCGCATAGAATACAGAGGGGCCTTGCTGTGGATGAAGGATGTGTCCCAAGAACTGGATCCTGACACCTGCAAGCAAATGGAGAAATTTAGAAAAGTATTTATTTCTTCTTCAAGTGCTTGTTCATGTCAATTCCTATAAGGTATGCGCGCTCTGCGTGCATCACAGTGGGAAGGTTTTTCCCCTAGTATTATCCATCAGGTCAGCTGAGGTGCCTCCTGGGGTCCCGCCTTCATGGCCCTGCCAACCTGATATCCTCTTAGTTCCTTTTTACCATGACAGTTAGCTGAATACTTTTAGTTCTTGCTTTGCAAGCATGACACTCTAACCTTCATTCTCTTTCTTGTAGTTTGTAGTGTACAAATAGTGTAAAAAGTGTAGTTAGATTAGTTTTAGTTGGTCCCCCCTTTTTTCTTCCTGGTACTGAGGCATGCCTTGGTCCCAGGGTTTAAACTTTGTAGACACTGTGACAGACATTGTTTTGAAATAAGCGTTATTCCTCATGGAAAGCAGGAGTTATTTCAAAATAACCAGCCCTTTATTTCAAAGTAACAGGCTTAATAGTGTGGACGCTCCGCTTGTTATTTTGAAATAAGGGGAGTTATTTCAACATAACTCCCTAGTGTAGACCAGGGCAAAGAGTGTGATCAGCGTCTCAAAGTTTTGCTTATGAGGGATGATTTCTGCCCCATTTTGGACTCTCAGTCAGTGGAGTTGATCCCGAATGCCTCGACACAGGTGCACACTAACACAGAACTGCTGGGCCATGCTGAGAAGGGACTTCGCTAGAGTCTCTTGGCACCAGCAGGCAGCCTTCTTCAAAAGCTGCAATCAGTGGCTGGTCCCTCACAAGAAAAAGAGGCTATCGAAGGGCTGCTCCCCCAGATGCTCAGAGCAGTATGGAAGGATCCTGAGGCCGTGAGCTCTGCGTCATGCTACATAAGTTCAGCCTCCACTATGAGAGTCTCATTGACTCCTGCCCTCTTCTGGGGTCAGTTGAGTCCAGAGCCCCAATTTTCTTCCACTTGAGAGAGCTGCTTAAACTTGCCACCCATGCTGGAGACATATGATGCAGCAAAGAACTAATTGCTCTTGTGGAGCCACCTTCCTACCTCCCACATGAGACAGAATGCCCATGTGACCAGCAGTGCAATCAAAAGAAAACCAGCATTAATGTTATGCCAATCACCATCACCCCAGCACCAGTTTCTGTTGCCATCTTTGAGCATCTGGGCAGTGGAGATGCACTGGGCCCTAGTCCCAGATGCCACTCTCTGGCACTGATGTGCTCCACTTCTCTCTCAGCTTAGTACACAGAGTCAGCAGAAGCAGAGTCCAACTACTCTAGATCCACCAGGGGCAAGAGATTCGGGTCCTGTCAACATGACTGATACCTCCTCCCAGCACTGTGGCTGAGGCAGTGTCAAACCCCTGTCCAGTGGTCATTTTGGACCCTTTGGGCCTCCCATTAGGGCTAGAACCAAAGCCATCCATCTCCTGATCAGCTCAGGTACAGCTACAACTCTTGCAAAGCAATGGTTAAATTTATGGAACTGCTACCAGAGGATTTTAGGGCTGAATTTTGCTCTGTGGTGGATAATGCAAGCTCATGGCCTCACTCTAAGCAGCCCCCAATATGGTGGACTCAGCCTCCCCTACCATGGCATTGGGAATAGCCATGTGATAAGAGTTCCTGGGTGCAGATGTCTGGGCTGCCTTATGAG